TCGGTAATTTCCACTGAATATGTGGCCAAGTTCCTCACTCTTATTCTGTTGATGACATTACTGATCAATGAAAGTAAATGTTGTCGTAAAATAACTGTTTATATCAACCTCTATTGTATAGAGATACCTCATATGCTTAATATAACAATTACATCTCGAGGGCGAGTGTACTACGAGCTGATAGCCCATGAGGCCAGGGAGATCTATTTTGTTTTACATTCTAGTTGGACAAAAAATGAATGCTAGAAATATCGAAAAAAGACTCCGATTAGCATAGCCAATCAGAACGAAGAATTTGCAATAGTCCCCTAGTATGGTAATACKAACAAGAACCGCTTCATGGAACATACACTGGAAAAAATCGCGTGCTTTAAAGGTTGTAAATTTGATGTATATATGATGTAAGTGTCCAAAATGATGTAAATTTGATGTAAATCATTTCCATCAAATTTCCATCATTTTGGACACTTACATCATATTTACATCAAATTTACAACCTTTATGGCGCGCGATTTTTTCCAGTGATACCGTGTCCCGAGGCTACGCTAATATATACTTTTACTAGCGACGCGATCGATTTGATAGATTTTGCGTATGATCTTTTCACATCATTTTTTTTTAAATATGCTTATCATTGCAGGGAAAATTTACCATTCAGATTGYATTCGTTTTATCCGCAGATAAGAGAATTTATAAGATGAAAGTGTGCTTTGAATAAAATGATTTTAGAAAAAAAAAGAACGAGTATATATTTTAAAGTTAAAGAAAGAAAGAAAGAAAGGATGTTTAAAAGCTGCTCGAATCCAGAATCGAACCCGAGATCGTCAGTTCAACGCCGCTATTCAAGTATGATCTTGCGTGTAAAATATGTAAAACAAATATCCACATAAGAATAAGTATATTTCAGTAAAAAAAAGAASGAAAGAAAAAAGAATCGCAATTAAATTAATAATTATTAAACAAAATCTACTGAAAATCAAGATGACTATATMATATTTAAGAAGAAGAAAAAGTGCTCGAGACGAGATTCGAACCCGCCATCCTCTGTTCGACATCGCTGTTCATCTTGTTTGTAAATTTAACGAACGCGGCTCGTAAATATTGATAAAACAAAAAAACATCTAACATGACTAGAACACCTAACATCTAACATGACTAAAAAAATCAGAAGTGCTCCAGTCGAGGATCGAAACTTGGAACTCTGGATTATGGGTCCCTTGGGATTGCTAAACTGCGACGTGGAAAAAAATAAAATAATAATAAAGTCGCTGCATTTTATAACCGTGCCGCAGGAATGCTGTTCGCTTTTGAGGGAGAGTTCTCTATGTGAAGTTCGGATGCGAGCAAAAATCTCGAGATAGTGGTGAGCGCTCGACCGTAATGTGATATAAATATATATTTTAAGCTTCTAAGTGGAAATTCAGTGCGTTATTTCCATTCCTTTTATTTCAATATCCTGCCGTATCAGTTATTTTCTACCTATATTTCCAGTTCCTCGTATGTTACTGTCCAATGAGGGAGTCAAGACCGACGATTCATCCAAAGGGAAATCCAAGGGAGATGATTTAGTCAAAGGTTTCCTGAGCATCCACGAGACCTGCAGCGAGAAGGATGCCGCTCCTCGTCGGTACATGACCTTCTTGAATAACTACAAAGACATCTATACCGGCAAGAAAGACGGAGTGGTTAAACGACAACAACATTTACAGGTATAGAAACACTTATGGTATTATAAGCTTAAGGGTGCGACTTTCAATTCTTTTAAATATATGTTATGATCAAACAACACTGAGCGTCATGCTGTATTTTCTCTCCTGTCATTTATAGCTCCAGACCGGATTGTTCAAATCCCGATTAGCGCTAATTCAGGGTTAATGTAGTACACCATAGTTTTTTAAGAGTTAACCCAGAATTACCGCAAATTGATCTTTCAAAACCCGGGGAAACCTCACCATGCCTCTTTCCYCATCCCCCTTTGAACCCCAACACTCTGAATGTTGTGGCTACCTCCCGCCTTCTACCGTTGTATGAGAGTGTTCATCGTTGTAAGAGCGGTGTGTCTATTATCCGAAGAAACCATAGGTTTCTGTTTCTCCCMTGACAACAATTAAACGTTAATTTGCTTTGTTTTAGGCTGGCGTTTCTAAGTTAACCGATGCCAAAGCACTGGTGGCTGATTTGACAAAGAAAGCAGGCGAGCAAAGTGTTAAACTAGCAGAGAAACAAGAAGAAGCTGATACAGCACTTCGTGAGATTACTGCTAGTATGCAGGTATGTATCTGGACAGTGGTCATTATGGTATTGAACATATACAGCTATTTTAAAAAACATTGTCGGGGAGAACGGCGAACGRCGATTGTCGAAGAGAGATTGCACGACCGAAAGGGTTTATGGTTACACTGTTTTGATAAACAAAACTTCACTTATAGTATACATCTTACATGGAATGGAGAGTGTCTGTCATTTTAACATTCTACTTGTCTGTTTTGGTGTTTTTCTGAAGTTTGAATTGCATATGGAGATAAATATAGTCACAGTCTTATGGTATTGCTTGCTTGAATAATATAACTACTAACATTAGTTCAAATTTATAACCATAAATATCACTTGTACATAATGGAACTATTGACTTATAATTAATCGAGATAAAACGCACGACACTAACGTTTTACAATCTTACAAAATACAACGTTTGTCATTTTAACATCTTATTCTTGGTCCTTCTGGTCCAAAAGCTTGATTCATTGCTCAGTGATCTCTGATTTTCCTTCAGTCTCACAACGCATTTGTTTAGTTTTCTTTGCATGGACTGTAACATCTATAGTTCTTGTTCGTTATCAGAATGTCGCCTTCTTCTGTTAGGCGCTACTAATGGACTCCGTGGTAATGGTCGCAGCTCAATTGATTGTCGTCTGTTTGGTTCTTGATTCTGTATTTCTCTTCGGCAAAGTACATTCTTCGCAGCTTGTCGAAAGTCAGGGAGAAATATTATGTAGATAAGAGGACTGAAGCAGGAGTTGGCGACAGGTAGAAATGAATCTATGATATAATAGAAAGACCTCCGATCGAAACAGACTGGAAAGTCAATTATATCAGTTGCTGGAATGACTCTGTCTAGATAATGCAAAGCAAAGAAAAGGTATAAGGGAATCCAGCAACATGTGTACAGCAACACAGAGACGATTACCATTATTACGGCTGATTGAGCTCGTTTTTTTCGTGCGTTTAGTTGTCTTTCGTTTAGATGGGCTTGGATGGCTTGAGGTCTGGATAGTCGTCTTATTGTAATAATACTTAGAACAAATACTACGCAACAAAGAATAATATTTGAACACAATTCTGCTATAAAAATACGTTCAAAAATAGTGACATTAATCTGCTTAGTTGTATTGCAATTCGCATACGCAACGAAAGCAGAGATTGGCATAGGAATTAACCAGCACATTCCGAGTACAATCATTCGTTGTTTAAATGTATATGGCTGYGAGATTTTCAATACACGTCTCGTTGCTCTGAATCGCTCAATACTGATCACCAATAAAGTCATAAGAGATATTTTATGCGAAACAGTCTGGAACAATGTTAAAATGTGGCAGAGTATATTACGAAACGTGTTTTTAGGATATATACTCCATTTCCAATCAGACAGCCAACGAATGTGGAGTAATAACCAGGTAATAAGATGAAGAGCATCTGACACGGCCATGYTGATGATCAAATGGTGCAGGTTCTTGCGTAAAGTGTATTTAGCAGCGAGTATGATGACGAAAATGTTGCCTAAAATTCCCAGCACAGTCATCAATACAAAGGCAGTGCGTTTGGCAATTTTCTCAAGATCAGTGTCTTGTTCCCAATACTTGCAGTAGCTGTAGATCGAACTGTTAGAGTGGTTTGTGAGCGAGATGTTGAGGTTCTCCATCGTTGTGTAGTATATATGTTCGTTTTCGGTATATATCGGTGAAATAATTCAAATAATGACACTAAGGCTGTATTGTAAGTGATTCATATAGTTTTATCCGGTGTTTTCGGATTGGCTGAGAATTATCTACATATACGTATAAATACAATGTCAAGATTAATAATAATTCTTTCATGCGAATCCTCTAGGTATGTCAATTGTCGAAAGCACAAATAGCTACGACAAAAGGTGTTTTGACTGTACGTTTTATTGACAATATCTTAATAATATATTATATTTAATGGTATTAATTTTGTTCTTTTCACGTTTGATTCAACTTGAACCACAGAAGACTGCAATGGCTGCTGGATCTTTTGTTGATTAATYATTTGGAATTGAGATTGAAATTTCACATCATAGAGTTCACATGAATTTTTTTGTCATCAAGTTAACTATTGATATGATGAGAAGAGCAGGGAATTTTCTATTGACACGACTTGTTTTGATAGTGAAATCCATAGACATTGCCCATGTAAACGAATAAATTAGCACAATGTTAAAGGTTTGTTT